AGAGTTTCTGTTATTGGTGGGGAACCTGCATTTTTCCTTCACTAGCTCTTCATGGAGTGGAGAAGGCTTCATAGAGGTGAAAGTGGGTGGGGAGACGGGAAGAGCTATTTTTGCATTTTGGGCAAGAAACCTTGTGGTGGCGGATGACTTTGCTGGCAGTTGGTGGTAGTCTGATGGTGAGAGGCATGGGTCAAGGATGGCTGGTAATTCTTTTTTTTTTTTTTAATTTTTCTTAAAGTTTTATTTCTAAAACTATGATAAAATACATAGAACATAGAATTTACCATTTTAACCATTCGTAGGAGTACACTTCAATGGTATTCAGAACATTCTTGTGCAGGCATCACTACTGTCCATCCCCAGAACTACTTCATTTTCCTCTACTCCATGTGTCCCCCCAGCCTGTGGCACCTCCCGTTCTACTTTCTGTCTCTGTGCACCTCACTGTTCCAGGAACCGCATATGTGTGGAGTCAGGCACCCTTTGTCTTTTCATGTCTGACTTACTTTACTAAGTGTCCTTCACAGGCTTTTCTTTTTCTTCCTCTTGAATGTTTTTATTGGAGGCTCTGAAGTCACAATTATGTTTTACATGGAATGTGAATATTTGTGGGCAGAGCTCAGAGAAGGACACAGGGTGGGGCAGAAAAGGGCAGAGATTGGATGGTGGATTGAGGGAGTGGAGAATAACCAGTACTCACCATGTAAGTGCTAGCTGTTATTATTTTTAATAAAAGCCAGTGCTGAGGAGCATCAGTGCTTGGGGATATGTAGGACAAATTGAAGAGACAAGGGCCCTGCAGGGTGGGAGCCTACCAGGGTGGGAGCCTATTGGGATCGTTCCTTTCCAAGTTTCCAAATCCTGATGTTCCTTCACTCCTCCTTCCAAGCCCTCTTTTCCCTTGAAATGTATCTCTTGCAGGCTCACAACTGGCCTTTTCAGCCCTCTTTAGAAGTGACATTGGCTCTCTCTGCCTGCCTCTTTTATTAGTTCTGCCTCTTCAGACCATCTTTGCTCTCCTCCCTGTTGGGGATCTCATGGATCCCAAACTGGGACAGTGGTCAGCAAGGGAGATGGTGCTGGAGAAATCATGAGACTTTACATCAAATTATAGCATAAATCCTGGAAGGGTATAAATTGTTTCATGTGCCAAGTAGCAGCCTGAAAACAGTGCAGCAACTTATCCTGCTTCTCAGGAGTGTTTCTATTGGGTACTGTAACAGAGTATATGTGTAAGAATGCACAGCAGTCAGTAGTTAGCAGTAAAGGTTTAAAATGAGAGAGGGGAGGCTTGGCGCCTGTAGAACAGTGGTTATGGCACTGGCCACCTGCACCGAGGGTGGTGAGTTTGAACCCAGTGGGAATAGTATGACATATAAGCACATTGGTCTGTCTATGTTAGAACGTCTTTGGGACATTGATTGGTTTTTATCTCAAGGGAATTCACTTGTTGTCTTAATCAGCCTCATTCCCATGTTAACTCAGCATAACAACTTAGTGTGACAACTCAGGACCTTCTGACTTAGGCCAGTTCAAAATTGCCAAAATAGCTTAGCCGTATCTGCCAATTGCCTTGCTTGTGTCTAACTAACTGCCTAATTTAACATTTCCCCTCTGATTTGCAGAGCCCAAATCTTGGGGAAAAGACCTCTGACTGCTTGGGGAAAAGACCTTTGCTGAGGAGGGGAAATATGAGTAGTGGGCTCTGCAATCAGCTATCTCTAAGGGCAGGAGTGTATGTCCATTCAAAGGGCTGCAGTAAATGGGGTGCAGTTGTTTGTAAGTATGGTTATTTTCAAACAGGTGCTTGTCTGGTTGTCATAAATGTTGACACCTGGTGGTGATCAGCCTCTGCAAGTGGATAACCTCTAAGTGGAAAGAAATGAATTGTGTTATGTAGTTGAAAATACAGGATTTGAAAATTAGAATTGGTTAATATCTGACACTCTTCCCCTGACCACCTTTCTCATATAAATGGAAGAGAAGAAATCAAGTTTTAGAACATAATGTAGGCTCGGTGCCTGTGGCTCAAGAGGCTAAGGGGCCAGCCACATATACCTAAGGTGGTGGGTTTGAATCCCCAGCCCGGGCCTGCCAAACAACAATGATGGCTGCAACCAAAAAATGGCCAGGCGTTGTGGCGGGCGCCTGTTGTCCCAGCTACTTGGGAGGCAGAGGCAGGAGACTCGCTTGAGCCCAGGAGTTGGAGGTTGCTGTGAGCTGT